AAATATGCTGAAAAATTATTAGAACAAATAGAAATAAACATGAAAACTAATTCATTCTAATTTTTATTTTTTTTGGGGAGGGGAATAACACTGCGCGCTTATTTGGACGAATATAAGGAAACATGGGTGAAACACACAGGTCATCACCCAGGCACTGCGGGAGTGCAAAGGAAATGGTTTAGACAGGCGGTACTGGAGGGCGTACCGGAGAGTGTGAAAGCTAAAATGATCACTAACCCAGACCTGCCAGGTAGTGACGTTGCTGTGTGGGAGAGACATTTGTTACAAGACGCGACAGAAGAGGCGACAGGGGAAGATAAACAGTTAAAGGAGCTGCAGGCTCAACTGCTGAAGCTCCAGCTCACCAAAGTAAGACAGGAAGTGAGCGACAAGAAGCAGAAAGCAGAAAGGGAAAGATCACATCTTCCGCCGCAAACTAAAGACACACCTCTTCAGACTCTACCTCGACTAAAGACTAACAAATTGTAGCACTTAAATTGTACTTGTAACGTCACTCATCTATAGCAAATTGTAAATTGGCTTATTTGAGGAAATTGCACTTTCTTGTTTCTTGTTCTCCTGAGTTTGTACCCTATGGTTGAATGCACTAATTGTACGTCACTTTGGATAAAAGCGTCAGCTAAATGACATGTAATGTAATGTAATGTAATGTAATGTAATGAAAGATGAGTGATAGATGGTTGCACAGGCTGCCCCAGCTGGAGGTAACGCCCTGATTTGTATCCACTCCCACCATGGGAGGAGACGTCGTATGGGACAGCCCAAGGGGGTGGTTACAGGGGAGGCTATGGAGGTAACCGCTGGGGTGGAGCGTGTTGAGGAGGTCCATACACAGGGGGAGGAGGAAGAGGCGGACGCAGATGGGGAAGAGGTTGTTTCCACTGTGGTATGGAGGGGCACCAGGTTAAGGAGTGTCATGGTAAAGGAAGACAAGGGAGGGGTAGGTGTCCCACCCCAAGAAGCATGGGCTCCCAACGCACATGCTGCACCGCCCCCTAGAGGACAGTACCCCACACTGGAGGACTGGGGCTATGAGGCAGATGCCTCTCAGTGACACAGCCCCGGGAGAGACCCGGACAGCAGGGGCAGGGCAGACCCCATGCTGTCACTCACGGTACTACAACAACAATTGCATTTCTCGTTGACACTGGGGCCACAAACTCCACCATACAGGCAGCGGGCTCGTCTGCTATGTCCAGAGATAGCGTCTGCGTTGTGGGGTTCTCCGGGGTGTCACAGAAACTGCCTCTAACAGTCCCCCTACTGGTGAAAGTGGGAAATCGGACATTGACTCATTCTTTTGTTGTTTCATCTCAAGTTCCAGTGAATGTTATGGGAAGGGATCTTCTCATTAAGACGGGGGCTTCAATCTTGTGCAGCCCGGACGGACTAAGCGTCACCATGATGGATGGAACGGTTCTGTATTGCAATGACAATGGACAAACGAATGGTCAGTGGGTGGTGCAGCCACTGCAGCAACAACAACAATATGCTGACATTTATTGGGGCCTCTTGAAGCCTGAGTGTCCTGAAGTCCCAGGGGTTATGACTCTTTACCAAAAGTGGAAGCCTTGGATAACTCTTCTTTATCTGTATGTTTCTCCTCCAGATCCTCCTCATGTAACATTGTTTTATGATAGACAAGGGGATGAGTGCTATTGTGACGAATTCATGGAACATTTAGAAAACACGGATTGGGAGGGGACGTCCCAAAATCTCTATGTGGGCCCAGAAGGGGTAGCCTCAGCTGTCATCCTCTCCCCGATCAATCAAAATGGTGTTTAATGAATCGAGATGCAGTGCCGCATGTGTCGTTGGCTCTGCATCCCAAACATCAGGCTAAAGACCTAGGTCTAATGACGAAACTGGCGATGCTGCTAAACGACTGGGTATGCACTCAACTGCCTGATGTTTGTTTTTCTCCCTCCGCTAAAATGTACAGGATTACAGGGAAAGCAACTAACTCTGTCATTTTAACACACGAACAGGTGTCCAGAGACCACGGACGCGAAAAGACATACCATCCCTGCACAGCAACCCTTCTTGAGAAACTTCCAGACTACCTCTGGTCAGAAAGTCCGACTGACGTAGGTTTTTGTAATGCATGTAAACCAGTGACGTTTGAAGTTCATGACGGTCCTCCCATTTGGCAGCCTCTATACCCTCACAAGCCAGCCGCGGCAGAAGGGATCAAAGAAACTATCGAGGGCCTCATTAAATCAGGTGTATTGGAGCCCTCACAGTCCGCCTGGTACACACCCATTCTTCCTGTAGAAAAGACAGGGACCGGTAAATATCGCATGGCACATGACCTCAGAAAGATAAAGGACAGACTGGTAACTACAGTACCTGTCCCAAACCCGTACACTACATTTACTAGTCTGACACCACAGCAGCAATGGTTCACTTGCATTGATTTGGCGAACGGGTTTTTTTTTTTTTTTGCCTGCCGCTACACGAAGACTTGCGGGATGTGTTCTCATTCACGTATGGGAACAGACAGCTACGATATACTCGGCTACCACAAGGGTTCGCGCTTTCGCCAGGTATCTTTAACCAAGTGTTGAAACGAGCGTTAACAGGGTGCTCACTGCCAGAGGGCACGACATTGATCCAATATGTGGACGTCATCTTCCTCGCATCCACTTCAGCGGAATCCTGTTTGGAGGCAACAGACACCGTCCTACGCCGGTTGGCCGAAACAGGTTTTAAGGTCATTAAGTCTAAGTTGCAGGTCGCCAGAAGACAGGTTTCATTTTTAGGTAGAATACTGTCGGGAAGCGCCTCAGGGCTCAGTATTCTCCATCATCCACGTCCACAAAACGTAAAAGAAATGCTTTCGTTTTTGGCCTTGCGGGGTTTAGTAGACAATTCATTCCGCGCTATTCGACTCTCACCCAAGTTCTGCGTGCAAAGGTAAACGAACAAGGGATGCGAAATCTCACTGCTAATCTCGAATGGGACCAAGGGGCGGGAGAGGCGTTTATCAAGCTAAAAACAGAACTGGCACAGGCGCAGACCTTGCAGTACCGTATTACAGCGCACCGTTTTACCTGGATGTTTCCGAAACAACATGGGTTGTTAATGGGATTTTGTTTCAGAAAAAGGGGGGTGGTAAAAGGAAGGTGCTTCTGTATAACAGTATCATGTTGGATAACATGGAAAAAACAACATCATGAATGCACACAACACGCAGCAGGGGTCGCAAAGCTTGTAATGAAAATAGCACACCACTGATTGGCAATTGTTCACTGATGGCAGCTGCTTTAGACATCCACAGAAGGGGTTGCAGTCGGGATATGTGGTAGTCAGAAGCCATGGGGCAGTGACAGAGGTTCTGGAAGCAGAAAAGATTCAGGGAAGTCAGTCAGCTCAAAGAGCTGAGGTACTCGCATTGATAAGAGCATTACAGCTGGCAGAAGGGAAGGCAGTGAACATCTATACTGACTCGGCGTATGCAGTAGGAGCAGCTCATGTGGAGCTGGGACAGTGGTTTAAGAGCAGGTTTTCTGACGGCTGGAGGAAAACCGATTATACAGGAACAAGAAATGAAAGATTTGGCGGCAGCCTTGCCTCTACCGAGCACCGTGGCTATTATTAAGTGCAAAGGACACAAGAACTCCAACAGTATGGTGGCCAAGGGAAACCAGGCAGCAGACCAAGCTGCAAAACAGGCTGCAGGTTACCAAATTGGGCTCCAAATGGTAATTGCAGATGATGAGGGACAGTTGGGGCCACAACTTAATGAGGAACAAATTAAGGAAGCTCAAAAGGGGGCGTCTCTTCAGGAGAAAACGGTGTGGAAGCAAAGAGGGGCTACAGAGGTTGGAGGCTTCTGGAGGTCCCCTGATGGTCGCCCAGTAATGCCGCCGGGCATCAGAAACAAGTGTTTACAGGAGGCACATGGGATGGCTCATGTGGAGCTGAAGCACGCGTTTGGTACAGTATATCATCCACAATCTCAAGGCAAAGTAGAATGCATGAACCAAAACTTGAAACAAAAATTGGCTCAAATCTTTGCACAGACAAATTTAACCTGGGTTCAAGCCCTCCCACTTGCGTTAATGGCCATTAGAAGCTCAGTAAATTACATTACATTACATTACAGGTCATTTAGCAGGCGCTTTTATCCAGAGCGACTTACATTACACCCATGGCTTTTTCAGATTTTTGCCTGGGGAGCAATTAGGGGTTAGGTGTCTTGCTCAGGGACACTTCGACATGGAACATGGGGCAGCCTGGACTCGAACCACCAACCTTGTGCTTCCCAGCACACCTTCTCTAACCCCTGCGCCACGACGACCCGAAATCAAGGTAATCAAGGTAAATCAAGGTACAGGTTTCAACCCGTACGAACTGACCACCGGGAGACAGTTCCCTGGACCCATTGCTGGCCAGAAGCTTAGGCCCAACCCAGAAGCTCAGGTAAGTATGCATGTCGTATAACGATCTACGAGCTCTT